CAAAACCACTCTGTGTCCTGTTTGTCAATGCCCTGGTGCCCAGGAGCAGGATCTACCCAGGCACACAGAAACACCTGGGGCTGTCCTGGGCCAGGCACCGCCAGGCCTGAGTGTGGCTGAGCAACTGGGAGAACCAATTAATGCAGCAGATTGATTGCCAGTAGCCTCAGGAACTGGAATGTTGCAGTAATTAATAGATTAATTTTTCTTTGGAGGAGAGAAATGGGTGGATAATGAGGAGATCAGGGACTGCCCACGTCTGCTGTTTCCTGATGGTGTTTTGGGGAAGCATTTCCAGGTTCAGGTCCTCATCAACAGCTCTGGTGATCTCAGATCTTAAAGTTTGTTTTTATTTCCTAAAGAAAGGAACATTAACCAGGCTTTGGAGTTTGCCAGAGCATCCAGTGGTGCTGTAATGAGCAGACAAGGCCGTGGTTTTGGGAGGATCCAGGTCCAGCCTAATTCGCTCGTTCTGGAGTTTGGCATTCCATGTTACTGGAGTGAGAAGGGGTAGAAGGTTGTGCTGGGAGCAAATACAGCAGAGGATGTAGTTTAGTGGTTTTCCAGAGCTTTGGAATGTGAGCAGAGGTCCAGGAGAGCCCTGTGCTCCAGCAGGGATGTCCCCTAGATTTCTGCACAGGAATTTTGCTGGAAGAGGGGGGAAATACCCACCCAATGTAAGTGATTTATACTCTGCCCTCCTCACACCTTCAGTTGTGGTCACTCACTGAACTTGGGATAAAATCCAGCCAGGGGTTATCCTGTTATTCCTTCCCTGGCTCAGCCGAGCTCGGAGCTGCTGGTGTTTGTGTTTGGAGAGTCCCTGCTGGCAGGGATGGGGGTTAGTGTTTTGTACATGTCCAGTGCATTGCAGTTATTCCCAAAAGGTTCTTTGAACAGCAGCATGGCTGACTTGGGCCCTCTGTGCTTTGCCGTATTCTGGTTTTGCTTGGCGATGTGCCTCCATCCCATGGCTCCGTGGGACTGTCCCTTCCTGAAGGACACATTCCTGGGGTGCTGAGGGTCTCCAGCTCTCCAGGAACGCTCCCAGGGTATCAGCTTCATGGCTGGGGTGGCTCTTTAGGATGCCAGGACATGGGAATGCGGGATCTGAGCAGCAGCTTTGTGTCCTGGGGTTCATGTCTGCATTCCAAGGAGGAGTTATGGATCCTTGTTGTTGTTTTCCTCAGGGCTAGAGGTAGGAAGGATGGCAGTGATGGGGCTGGAGCTTAGTTTCCATGACGTCCTCGTCCACAAATGCAGCCTAAATGTCAGAGAACAGAGTCTCCTTCAGGCTGTTTGTTTGGGTCCTGTTTGGCATCTACAAATAATAGCCCTAAAAATAGGTGGGCGAGATTCCTTACTAATCTTTGGGTAGAGGGTTTTGCACAGGGAATTGAACCAGGCTTAGTTTTTGGTGATACAGATAAGTTTGTCTGGGAGGGGGAGCTGGAAGAGCCCTCCAGGTGATGGATACCTGAGGTTTGTCCACAGTGACCTGTCCAGGTCCTCGGATGCCAAATCCAGCTGCCACTGCAGACAGCTCATGCCTGTGGTGCTTGTAGTGCCTCTGGCACTTGCCCTCCAAGTCAGCTCCTAATTTTATCTCCTTACCCACTCGGTGACAACGTGACACAGCAGAGGAGAGGGAATGACATCAGCAGACGGATGGATCCGTGCGGAGCAGCAGCAGGGATTTGATTTTAATTAAAAACGAGCAGTGCCAAGGTGATTCTGCTTTTAAATTGGTGCAGTGATCGCTGTCACGAGCTGTGAGGCTGCTCAGGGCTGGGGCTGTCTCTGCACGTGGTGTTCCATTCCTACAATTCCAAACATCCTAGTAATGAACACTGAGCTTCTTGGAAAATGTGGAGTCAGTTCCTGTGTTTAAAAGAAAACACCGTTTCTGACACACCGAGAGGTGTGTGAGGTGGGGAGCTACTTTTGGCTATCTATTTAATAACAAAGGGAGACTTTTTCTACACAAAAGTTCAGTGGATGTCTGGAGGCAGCTGGAATCCTCTCAGCAGTGCCAGGAATTCCATGGATCCTGCAGGACTGACAGTTGTAGGGATGGGTGGGAGGGAGTTGTGTATGTTTGGTGTGAATGGTTGGTTTATGTTATTCTGCCAAGATCCCTACATGGGGAGGAAGCCTCATGTTCCACAGAGAGCACAGTGCTTCCATCAGCTGCTGAGGCTGAATTTAGGGAATATTTTAGCTGCTTCTGGCTTTGCTCCTTGTGCCAGCCTGGTCTGGGCACAGGGCCTGTCCCCTCTGCTGAGGCACCTCCAATCCTGGGACTCTTGTGGGGTCAGGGACCTCAGAGGCTGGAGCGTGTCCAGGGCAGGGAACGGAGTTGGGAAAGGACTGGAGCATCAGGAGAGGCTGAGGGAGCTGGAAGGGGGCTCAGCCTGGAGAAAAGGAGGCTCAGGAAGGACTTTCTGGCTCTGCACAACTCCCTGACAGGAGGGGACAGCCAGGGGGGTTGGGCTCTGCTCCCAGGGAGCAGGGACAGGAGGAGAGGGAACGGCCTCAAGTTAGGCCAGGAGAGGCTCAGGTTTTACATCAGGAGGAATTTCCTCATGAAAGGGTGGTCAGGCCTTGTCAGGGGCTGCCCAAGGAGGTTTGGAGTGCCCATCCCTGGAGATGTCCAAGGAAGGCCTGGATGTGGCACTCACTGGGCTGGGGAAAAGGTGGGGATAAAGCAAATGGTGGACTCAGTGATCCAAGGTCTTTTCCAACCTCCACGATCCCGTGTGATCCTTGGTGAGGAGCTCCCCAAGCACGGAGCAGCTGCTGAATGTGTTGGCATTGCTTTATGATCCAGGACCATGTTCTTGCTCCCAGACCACTGGGAATTTTGGGGCTTTGAAGACAAAGACACCAAGAATTTTTCTGGAAGTGACCTGCTCTGGAGTGAGAAGGAGTGAACCAGTAAAGGAATTGTGATGGTTTAGAAGGATTCCTTGGAATAAATTTTCCTGTTGAGCAGAGTAAAGAGCTTCATTTTTCCTCTGTCAGGGGAGGCTGCAGGTTGTGGTTGGAGTGTCCAGAACGTGTGGGGCTGTCTGGCAGCCCTGGGGCTCAGTGACAATGACATGAATCACCTGTCCTCAGGTGCTGAGGTGGACACGACACTCTGCAATAGCAGCATCTCCCAGTCAGTACCATGTTCGGACTGTGGCTGCAGCCCCGGGGCTCACCTCAGAGCCAGCAGCAGTGCAGGACGGAGCCTTCCCCAGGCTGCTGTGTGACTTGTGGCACCCCCATGCCCACAGTCCCACCTGAGGGCTCAGCAACCCTGTATCGACTTGGAGTGAAATGATTTGAGAAGCTCCTCAGAGTGTTTTCCCCCCTTCTACCCCATTTTCCTGTTGTCTATCTCCCTCATGCACTGGGATATTTAATAGGGGGTATTCCAGGAGGGCCTGGGAGCCGTGGTGAACTCTTGGAGGCTTAAAACGTGGTTTCAAGACCACGATGTCCCCTGAGCTTGTTCAGTGAGGAGCCAACCCCTTCCCCTCAGTTTGGCTTCCATTGTCTGCCACCAGCTGCTCCACAGCATCTCCATCCTCACTGCTGCCTGTTCCCGTGCCTCTCTGCAAGGGCAGGAGGCAGGTCATACACATTTTCCTCCCTCCTGAGCAGTGCTGGAATGGGATTTTCCTCCCTTCCCAGTCCCCTTGAAGAGGAAGGAAACTGTAGGTGTTTGCCCTCCGCAGGATGCTCTGGCTGAGACCTGCTTTGTGAAGCTCTGCCTGGTTTTGTTACCTCCCAGGACAGGGTTGGGTAGGAAACTCAACCTCCCACCCACCTTTTATCTACCTGAAATGATTTATTCCCTTCTAGGTGGAGGCTGCCATGGCCTATATGACCAACAGCCAACACTGTGGTTTGGCATCTTGTCGTGACTTGTGCTCCTTCCTGCTTATAAGGGCAGGGAGTTTCTGTCCAAACCCGTTCCTTTCCCGAGCTGTGCCTGCTATGGTTCCTGCTGGCAGTGTGGGGAAGCAGCCAGGCCTCAAAGAAGAGCAGCTGCCTCCTGCCAGAAGTTTGGAATTTCCTTCTGTAGTGCCAGTTATCAGCTGGCTAAACTAGGACACTCTCAGGTAGTGCTTTCCCTGCTTTCTTGATGATTACATCAAACACAAAAAGCTATTTCGGAGCCTCTTTTAACAGAGCTGTTGTGAGGATCTAAAAATATCGGTGGGGTTAGAGCAGGTCGCCTGCAGGAGAGTTGAAACCTGGCTTCATTCTCCTCCTCAGCCGAGTTTCTCTGCGAAATTGCTCCAGTTGCAACACCTGAGCACCTTTTGCTGAGGTGGATGCCAGCCTCGGGCAGGGGCTGGCATGCTCAAAACCTGGCTCTGTTAGTGATTAATGCATCTCTCTGCCGATGGCAGCGTGTGGAAAGGCAGGGAGCAGCACAGGGAGGCTCCCTGTGTTCGTGTGGGGCAGGGCAGGACCTTCTTCTGGCAGGAATGTGGCCCTGCCAGCCAGCCCTGCCCATGCCCCTGGCCGTGAGCTCGGAGCTCAGCTCCCCCCTGGAATCGCGCCTGCAGATTGCCCCGGCCCTGGATGCTGCTGCTCCTCTGCCTGGCAGGCTTGGCCTGGTCCCTGCCAGGGTCCAGGAATACCTTGCTGTGGAATCCCATGGAGTTTTACCCTCACAGGTATTTTTTTACCAGCTGAAGTTAAAGTAAGCAATATGTGCCAGATCCATGGCCTCCTGTGGGTGTGCTCCTGGGTACAGCAAAATACTCGTGGTTGTTTTACTTTTCTCATGGCTTATCCATGGTGGCTTTTCTTTTTCCTACCTCTTGATTCCCAAGTCATCCTCAAATGGAATCACACACTCCCTCCCCCCTTTATAGATTAGTATTCGGAAGAGTGAAATTAAATGTGTGCCCAGACAAGAACAAACTCTGACCTCCAAACTGAGATTGGTCTTCATTTTATTAAAAACTTAATGTGTTTAATTTTCTCTCCTTTTCAAGGAAATAGACAGACGTTTGGAAAAGAAGCTGAAGATCACACAGAAGGAAAGGTAAAATCCTGATTTTCTGAGGTGCTGTTGGGCTGCTGAAGTTCTGGGGAGTAGGAGCAGTGGGGAAACAGCTTCAAACTGAGCAGGGAGTGCTGGGTTGAGAATCAGGGAGTACCTGTTTCCGTGCCACTAGGTGGCCCTTTGGAGCCACGGCAGGGCAGCAGAAAGCTTCTGAGAGTGGTTTGCTTTCAGAGCCAGCTCTTCCTGACTGAATGTAGCTCCAGCTTGGGGGAAGCCGTGTAGGAAAGAGGCAGTCACGGGTAGAAATGTGTGAGTCAGGTAATCCCAGCTCCTGGCTCTGGAGTGACTCGCTGTGTTTTGCATCAGGGAGAATTTCTTTTCCTGCTTCCTTTGGTTCTGGGCAGGGGTGTGTTATTTTGTGTTATTTTCTGCTACCAGAAATGTTTTTAATCCGTGGTGACAAGTCCTTTGTTGTTGGGTTTTTTTCCCCTTTGCTTATTAGAGAGGCATGGGATTTATCCTCTGGGAGTTCCATGCAGAAAAGGGACTACAAAACATTCATATGGTGAGCTGGGGCCAAGGCTGGCTCTGAGGGGTGAAATGGCAGGGTTGGAGTGACAGGCTGGGTATCCTGGTGAGAGGAACCCTAGAAATCCTTGCAGGGAATGAAATCAAGGTGCTTGTACCAATATCTTTGACAAGAAATGCTAAAACTTTACCCAGTGTCTGTTCCCTTTCCTTCAGTACAGTTTAATGGTGTCAAACAGAGCAGGGACTGATTTTCCATCCCTTTCCGAGCTAATCCTCTGCTCTAGTTTAGAGTTACAGCTACAACGAGGTCTTTAATTATTCCAGGCTGTTCTTAATCACAGGAATTCATGTGCTGTGCAGAAAACCCCCGTCGAGAACAAGCACCAACCCCATATTTTTCTTCCCAGCAGCAGAAAGTCCAAATCTCCTCCCAAAGTGCCGATCGTGATCCAGGACGACAGCCTTCCCACGGGGCCTCCGCCCCAGATCCGCATCCTCAAGCGGCCCACGACCAACGGTGTGCTCAGCAGCCCCCACTCCGCCAGCCGCCCTGCCTTCCCTGTCAAGTCGCTGGCGCAGCGCGAGGCCGAGTACGCCGAGGCCAGGAAACGCATCCTGGGCAGTGCCAGCCCCGAGGAGGAGCAGGAGAAGCCCATCCTGGACAGGTGAGAGCAGCCCCGTGGGCCCCTGGAGAATTCCTGCCTGGCACTAGTGGGGGTGGGCTCCTTGGGGAGTGCAGCGGGGCCAGCACAGAGAGAGGAGGGCTCTGTTGGCAGAGCCTCAGTTAGGTGGGAGTGAGGGGAAGTGCTTGGGTAAGGCCATAAAGCATGGAATCATTGAGGCTGGAAAAGCCCTGCAGGATCACAGAGTCCAGCCACTGACTGGCGCTGCTGTGTTCCCCACTAAATGTGTCCCCAGGTGCCACGTCTGTGTGGGCAGGAATTCCTTCTCAATATATCCAATCCATCCTTGCCCCCTAGCAATGGGAAGCCATTCCCACTTGACCTTGATTCCTCCAAGCTTTTGTCCAGAGTCCCTCCATTTTTCCTTTTGGCCCCTTCAGGCACTGGAAGGCCACAGTTAGGTCACCCCAGAGAGTCTTTGTTCTAGGTTGAACAATCCCAGTTCCCTCAGCCTTTCCTCACAGCAGAGCTGCTCCATCCCTCTGATCACCTTGGCAGACTGCTTTGGACTTGTTCCATGTCCTTCCCGTGCTGGGGACCCCAGAGCATGTGACAGCATTCCTGTGGTGCAGGGGTTTCCTAAAGGCACTCAGAATTCCACACCTCATTCCCTCACCTCTGCTTCCTGTGTCCCTGCAGCCCCAGCCCTTCTCCCCATGTCCCCGCAGGCTCAGCTGTGCCCCCTCTGTATGGAGAGCTAAGCTGAAAGGATAGTGCAGGAGGGAATCTTTCCCCATGACTTGCTGCTGTACTGATTACCAAGAAGTGGAAATATCTGCATTTTTCCAATCAGTTGGGAGGATATAAAAGGGTAGGTTAGCTGGCCACCACACCCAGGCAGTCTGCAGTTGCAGTTCGAGTTGGAGCTTGAGACCAAGAGTCTGCTGCAGTTCAGGCTGGAGTCTGCTGGCTGTGCTGTGAGGAGGTAAGGGACATGTGGTCATGCAAGGGACAGATAAGGTAAGAAGATGTTGTGTGAGGGATAGTCAGGGTTAGGCAGCCAGGAAAGGGACAGCTTGGGTTTAGCCAGTTGAGCAGAATGAAAGGAGTCAGTGCTGTGTGAAGTTGCCTATAAGAAAATGAGTCAGAGTTACTTGAGAGAGGTCTATGAAAGAAGGAGGGAGAGTTGCAAGGAAAGAAGTTTGTTAAGAGAAGTTTGTAGAGCTTGTTACTAAAAGGCTGGTGGTGATAGCAGCCGTGTCTATCTCGACACGTTAACTGCAACGCCTCTGTCCCCGCAGGCCGAGGATCTCGCAGCCCGAGGACACGAGGCAGCCCAACAATGTGATCCGGCAGCCGCTGGGCCCTGATGGCTCACAGGGCTTCAAGCAGCGCAGATAGAGGCGGAGGCGCCGTTCTGCCGGCACGGACACACGGACCCGGGCCAGGGGACCTCCCGGGGTGAATTGCACTGTGACCCTTTTGCTCTGCCCACTGTGACCTTCAGCCCCACGCACTGTGACCTCCCCTCTCCACCCACTGTGAGCGGCGATCCCAGCAGGGCTGTCCCCACGGCCAGGGGGACACAAGGGGCCGTGCCGGACTTGGCCGGGCACAGGGAGTTGTGCGTGTCCCGCTCGGGTTGGAGTGAGCGCCAGCAATAACGTCTGTTGTACTCGAAACCTGGCATTTAAGGAAAGAAAAAAAAAAAAAAAAAAAAAAAGATGGGAAGCCTCCCCAGCCACCGCGCATGTTGTCCTCATCACTTCCAGAACGAGTTCTGTTTCCAAGGATTTTAAGTTCTTTATTTGGTTTTCTGTTTGTTTTCTGTTTGCTTTCTGTATCTTGGATTGGTGGAGTGCATGGGAAGGATTTGAGCCATTTGTTTGAATCCAGAGAGGTAGCTGAGTGTTCTGAAGGGAATTTCAATGGATTTCTATGAATGTGATGGCTTGAGGATGACAAGCTCGTGCTTCTCCCTTTGCATTTCTACTGCCATGGAAGCGAACTCCTGGATACCCCCAGATACCTCAGAATGGGACCCAGTTCACATCTTGCTCCTGTTAAAGCTTGGCTCCGATTCCCTGCTGGCTTTGAGGAAAAGCTTAAAATACATCATTTTTTGGGTTCTTTTGTATTTGGGGAGAAGGGAATGCAGAGTGACCCCATGAAAATGCCTGCTGTCTGGCCACGGAGGGCCAGGCGGTGAAGAATTCAGGAGATGAGGAGGAGAGGCTCCGGCCATGACGTCGGGCAGTGGGATATCCCGAGAGTCTGGCCCTGGCGGTGCAGGGACGGTACGAGCTCTCCCTTAGTGGCAGAACCGGGATCCAGACCAGCCCTGGAGAAAGCCTGCATGATCTCTCCGTCTCCCTGGAGGCAGCGAGGCTTCAGGGAAGGGATTGTCCTGCTCTGGCTTCCGCAAGGAGGATGGGGAGGCTGCTGCTCCCCGGGAATGGAGATGTTCCCCCCTGGATGAAGCTGAGGATCACTCGATATCAAGGGATTGGATGAACACTAAATGCTCTTCCTGGAGGGGCCAGGACCTGGAAATCCAGGTGGTTCCTGATGGATTCCTGCTTGGGTGCTGCCTTCAGTAGGTCTGAGGGGGAACAAGCCAATCTTGATGTGCACGAAAAGCCTTGTGTGGAAATGAGGCTGAAATCCCACAGAAACGGAAAAATAGAAACTACCTGTGTATCCAAGTCATCCGCCGGAACCTTAATGAGCTCCTCGCAGCTGGTTCTGGGTGGGGTGGGATTCCCCCTAGAATTCTGCTGACTTTTGGGGGATCTCACTCATCCCTCTCAGGCTGGGGGCCGGGATGAGCTCCAGAAGGGGGCGGGAGGGAGAAGGACGTCAGCAATAACCGTAGTCACTGCGCCTTTCCTTAATTATTCCTAAAAATAGCATCGAATAGCCAAAAACCTCCCAAATCCACCGGATTTCTGATGCGGCTGGTCGGCGTCACATTGCTGCCTCCTCCGTGTCTGGCACCGAAATTCCACCTCCGGCACCAAAATCCCCTCTTCCAGCACTGAAATCCCCTTCTCTCGGCTGCCCTTTCCTGCTGCGTCCCGGTGCCGGGACGCGGTGCCCAGTACACGGTGCCCAGGACACGTCCCGCCCGCGGGCAGGGCTCGGCGGCGTTCCTGTGGGAAGCGCCTTCATCCCGAGGAGGGGGAGCATGGACGCGGTACCGCGTGTTTCCGCCCCCCAAAAAAACGTGCGCCGGAAAGAAAACGTTTTATAAATCGTATTTTAAATAAATGTCTTTAAACTTTTCACGGCTTTATGGCTCCCTTCTTTTATCCCTGTCTGCCAGTGGTGGCTTTTTGGTGGCAGGTGTGTAAAAACCCACCAGGAAGGTAAAATCTGGGAGCTTTTGCCCATAATTGTGCTGGTTTTACCCAAAAACCGGGGGATTTTATCCCGTTTTTAGGGTGGTTGAGAGGAATGGTCCGAGGAGGGAGGGAAGGGCAGTGCTCCAAGGGAAGATGTGGATCCCAAATGTGGGTGTGAGTGCTGCCTCTCCTTGGAGGAGAAACAAGCAAATCAGTTAATTTAATTAATTTAATCTAATGTGATTGTTTTGTTGCTCCATGCTGGGCTCCCCCCTGGATGCTTTGCTCCCTAAGGGCCAGAGAAGGTGCTGGAAGCTCTTGGGGCGAGGAGTCCAGGAGCCCTGGCAGCTCCCACAGCCCCCGGTTCCTTTGGAATTCTGATGATTTTTTACTATTTATTTAAAATAGAAAGAATGTAAACATATAACATTAATATATAATATAGAAATATTAATAAATATATGAATATACATTATATATGATACATATATTTTACATACTATATATCTCATAGAACATATAATACTAGCATATATAATATATAACACTGTAATATAAATAAATAGAAATAGTAGATGCCATTATCTGATTTACAGAATTACCTGATATATAAAACCAATGAAACCGGTGAGTTTCGTGGCTCGGAGCCCAGAGCCGGTTCCGGTTCCCTCAGCGAACTGGGACCAGTTCCCGCCTCGCCCTGCACCGGGTCCTCCCGTGCGCTAGGGGGCGCCGCGAGTGCGGAAGCGCCTCTCTCCGGCGGGCCCCGCCCACTCCTGGGCGGCCGCGGAGGCAGCAGCGAGGCACCATCGAGGTAGCACCGAAGCGTCGGGACAGAGCGGCGGCGGGGCCGCGATGGCGGTGGAGGCGGAGGAGTACGAGTCGGTGCTGTGCGTGAAGCCGGCGGTGCTCGTGTACCGGCTGCCGCCGCGGGCCTCCAACCGCGGCTACAGGTGGGGCCCGCGGGGTGTCAGCGCCTCCTGGCGTCGGGGGGCTCGCCCCTTCCCTGTGGGGTTTGTGGAGGTCCCCTCCTCATGAGGTGTGTGGGGGTTGTGGTTCCCAGGAGGTGTTTGGGGTCTCTCGCTCCCCGTGGGACAGCAAGAACTGCCCCTCATGGGGTATCTCAGTCCCCCGTGGGTTCTCTCATGAGGTCTGTCTGTCCCCATCCACACCCCACAGGGGTGTGTCCATCATCCCGTGTGTTTTGGGGCTCCCACCCCGTCAGTCCCCAGCCAAAGCCTGTCCTGGCACAGTCGCCTGTCCCTAACGCAGCTTCGGGTCTGGAAACTCCGCGGAAAGGGAACCGAAACCTCCCGCGCAGCTCCTGCCTGCTCCCCGCCCAAACCCAGCAGCTGTTTTGGGGTGAAACGAGACATCTTGTGGCAAATCGCACTCTCCCCACCGTGACCTTCGTTACCAGCTGCAGGCAGAGGAGCTCTGGGGCAGCACCCGGGGGCTGGGGGCGGCACAGGGGCTCAGACTCCCCTTCCTGCTTCCCAGAGCCGCGGAGTGGCAGCTGGACCAGCCGGCCTGGAGCGGCCGCCTGCGGATCACGGCCAAGGGCAGCACGGCCTTCATCAAGCTGGAGGACAAGACCTCGGGTGAGGAGGGAATCCCGGGACTCGGCGCTCCATGGGGAGCAGCGATGCGGGGCTGAGTCTGGCCTTACCCCGCTCCGTTCCCGTTTTCCAGGAGAGCTCTTTGCCCAAGCTCCTGTGGAGCAGTTCCCCGGGATCGCTGTGGAGGGCGTGACAGACTCCAGCAGATACTTTGTCATCCGGATTGAAGATGGGAACGGTGCGTCCCGCACACCCGGGGACCCTTCAGAGCCCTCGCTGCTTCTGTTTGGGAAGGATTCCTGCTTTCCATGGCGGAATAGTCCCTGCATGGGGGGGCAGAGGGAGGAACTGACTCCCTCGCACGGCTCTGACCTTCACCAGGAATAAAAACACTTGGGTTTGGCTGCTCAGTGTTGGCAGGAGCATGCAGGAGCATGCTGTTTGTACTCAAGTTGTAGGTGCAGCCAATGAGCTGAAACACCTGGAGATGCCTTTGGAGAAGGGAAGGCTCTGGGGTGATCTAATTGTGGCCTTCCAGTCCCTAAATGGGCTCCAGGATAGCTGGAGAGGGCCTTGGGACAAGGGATGGAGGAACAGGACACAGGGAATGGCTTCCCACTGCCAGAAGGCAGGGTCACATGGGATATTGAGATAACTCCTTCCCTGTGAGGGTGGTGAGGCCCTGGCACAGGGTGCCCAGAGAAGCTGTGGATCCACTGCCTTTAGATCTCTGGCAGTGTCCAAGGTTGGAAGGTGCTTGGAACCACCTGGGATAGTGGAAGGTGTCCCTGCCCATGGAATGGGATGGGATTTACAGTCTTTCCAATCCAAACCATTCTGGGATTCTGTGATCCCCAGTCCTGTTGCTCAGTCTCCAGTGTCCCAACTCCCTCTGGAGACAGCGCCAGGCATGAGGATGTGCAGGATGGAGCATCCCATTCCTCCTGCACTGCTCAGCATCCCAGCCCTGACTCCTCCTCCCCGCCCAGGCCGCCGGGCATTCATCGGGGTCGGCTTTGTGGACAGAGGCGATGCCTTTGATTTCAACGTGGCTCTCCAGGACCACTTCAAGTGAGTTAGTGCCTCTTCCTGTATCATCTCAGCTCTGTTTTTGGCAGGTTCCCTCCAGGAGTGGTGGAGAAGTGGGAGCTAGGATAGACAGGTGTAGTGGGAAGAGGAGGAAACTCGCAGCTCTTCCTCTCTACAGGATTTCCCAGCCTGGATCAGCAACGTCCCAAACTGAGCTTCCCAAGTCCAAAACTGGGTGTCCAAAATCCAAGTCCAGATTCCTAATTTATTTCTTCTGCTTCCTTTATCAGCTATAAGGGGCTGCCCTGGGGGGCTGCTCCAGCTGCTGGGGATGGTGGGGTTTTGGGGAGGGATAGACATGGTGCTGGCTGGGGGATCCGTGGGGCTGCTGGGAATCATCCCCTGGGTGCTCCCTCAGGTAAGGTCTTGGCTCACACCTTGGCCTTTGCAGAGCTGCTGCCACAGAGGGGATAATCCTGAGCAGGATTTGTTTGTCTGGGGGAGCCTGGGGCGGGCTATGACCTCTCCTTTTCCATGGGTTTAATTCCTGCAGGTGGGTGAGGCAGCAGAGTGAGCTGGCCCGGCAGGCCCAGGACCTGGAGCAGGGACCCAAACTGGATCTGGGCTTCAAGGAGGGACAAACCATCAAACTCAGCATTGCTGTGAGGGCCTTTCCCAGCTGATTCGATTCCAGCGTTTCCTTTGGGTGGCATGAGGAAGCAGCAGCTCCTCCCCAAAATCTCTGGCCATGGGCACAGGGCAGAGCCCATCGGGATAACGCTGCCTGCAGGGATTTGCAGGGACTTGTGGTGCAATCAATTCCTGCTGCCAAAACCAGGCCTGTGGGATCTGGAGGTAAAAACCACCCCGGCTGTGACCTCTTTGGGTGTACCGGCAGTGGGATGTCACAGCAATGCAGGATTTTATTCCCAAAATAAAACAATTTGGCTTCCAGAGTTTTCATGCTCCGGCTCTGGATTTAAATGCAATCCCACCCAAACTTCCTGCTCTCCTTTCAGAACATGAAGAAAAAGGAAGGAGGGACAGGGGGCACCAGGCCACGTCCTGCAGGGCCTGGGGGCCTGAGCCTGCTCCCACCACCCCCCGGAGGAAAATCCGGCTCCGGAGAGCGCCCGGCGCCGCTCTCCACACCCACCCAGCTCCCGGGAACTCCCATCACAGGTCTGTGCTCCCACAGAGCTCCTGAGGGGCTGCTTCATCCATCAAAGCGGGGGAAAAGGCGGGAATCTGGGAATGAGTGGGGAATCACTCCTGGTGTTTTGTTTTCTGTCTTCCCGACTTTCTGACAGACTCCCTGTTGTCCTGGCCTCAGCCCACTGCTGCTCCTGCTGCTGATGTCTGGGGAGACTTTGCCAAAGCTTCGGGGTAAGCAGAAGAGGGATTTGGGGGAGATGTGGATGCCCCAAAACCACCTGGTTCTGCTGGGAAACCCTGCTAGGGTGGGGGCACTGCTCCATCCAGTCCCAACTTTGGGATTCAGAAGCAGCTCTGGTGCTGTGCTGCAATTCCCTGAATTTGGGTACATGGGCACTTCTTGCTCTGCTGCTCCAGGAGAGTTTTGGGGTGGTCCTGAATGACCCAATTTGCAGCTCAGTTTCCTCCCTGGATGTCTTTACCATTTCTAAACACCCTTTTTTCCCTGTTTCTCCCTCTCCCAGGTCAGCTTCCAGCCAGGCTCAGGGGAACACTGGCTGGGTTCAGTTCTGAGCCAGGCCTTGATCTGCTTTTCCCCATGTGCGTGCTGGGATCCTCGGAATTCCTGTGGGACCAAAGAAGCAGCCTCAGGACACCTCACTCCTGCCCTTAAATCCCCCCTGGTGTTGAAATGCTGGAATAAGTGCTGGAAACAACCAACCACGTGCCTTAAAACACTCCACAGCCTGGGCCTGCCACATCCAGAGCCTGGATCATGGGAGACCTCAGAGATTTCTCCTTTGGGAAAAGCCATCAGGTCCATCCCTCTGCCTTCTCCTCGTGCTTTTGGGCTGGATCAATTCTTCCCTCAGCAAGGAGCATACCCCTGGAGCCATCCCACCTCCCAAATCCACACAAACCTTTCCCTGCTAGGATGCCAAGCACTGCCTGGATTTTTTTCTGAGCACTTAGCAGGATGTGGGGAGCCTGATCTTGGCATTTCCATGCTGAAATTCCTCATTTCTTACTCTGGGAAGTTTGTTTTACTCCTCCTCTATGTTGAAGACACGATTTTTTACTCCTTTCCTTGGACATTTTATTAAGGACAAAACAAAGTCAGGTTCTTGGACAGAACTGGGGTTGAGATTCCTCTTGAAGCAAATAAGTATCTCCTTACCTATTTATATTAAGGCTTTTCCAAGTACGAAATCCCACGTATCCAACCCTTTGGATTTTCCTTTCCATTTCCAACTGGATGATGGGCATTTTGCTTTCAGAGCTTTTCCCTGGGCCTGGCAATGAACCCAGGTGAGAATGTAATGCTTACAAATGAACAATAAAATGGTTTTGATGCCAGACTGGAATTCTTTTCCTCCTCTGGGTGGGCTCGGAGTGGCCAGGATGAGCTTTTGTGATTCCCATTCCTTGCTGGTGCCGAGGGAATGGGATTGGACACGGAGCACAACAGAACCTGTTGCTTAGCAGTGGTTTCTGTTGGGAAGGACACCAGGAGGGGAAGGTAAGAGAAGAAATAAGGGGAAAGGGAGGGGTTTTTGGGACACAAATGCTCGGGGTGGAATTGAAGGCAGCTCCCGCCTGGCTGGAGGCATCCAAGACGCTGTAAATGCTCAATCCCATCTGCCTGTTCCCTGGTCTGGGTAATCTTCGGCTCTCCGGGGGAGAAAGGGAAAGCCCTGCCGGGGGGCCGAGGGGAGGGCGGCCGGGCCAGCTCCTCCTTTCCGGAGCGTGGCTTGGGACCGGATCCATCCCTTGTTTCAGGAGCGGGGATGCCTTCAGCCCCAGTTCTGGGGGATTTGGGGTCCGGCTTGAGGATTTATCCCCCCTTTTCCCTACCAGGTTGGGGGCAGAAAGTCTTTCATTACCCGAGGGATAATTAAAGCAGCGGCGGGGGGGATGATCCGGGGTCCCGGGGCCATCCCCTCATCCCGAGGCTGTTAAAGCCGTTTCACCCCTTGGCAACCCCGGCTCGCTCCTCCCCGGAGCTTTTCCGGCCGGAGCGAACTCTCGGGCCTTAATGAGCTTAAGGACCTCGGGGTTTAAGAACTGGGCTCTCCGAGGAGCCCCGTGCCCCGCTGGGGAGCGGCTCCACCCCGGGTAAGGACTTCCCCACCCTCCCTGGGCATGGGCAGCGCCAGCGGTCGGCTTTTGGTTCTGTTTTCCTTCCTTTTCCTCGTTCTCCTCCCGCCGGCAGCCTCGGGGTGGGTTTGTCGGCAAAGCCCGGGAATGCCGAGGGATTTCTGGGGGAAGGATGGGGCCGAGCCGCTGTCGGGACCTCCAGGAAGAGGAGGGTCCCCGCTCCCGCCGTCACGCGGGGAGGGGACGCGGATTTCGGGCTAATCCCGACCCCGCATCCGCTTCCCGCGGGCGGGCACCGAGCCCAAACCGCCCCAAATCCCGGGAAAAGGGGCTTGGGGACGAGGAGGCCGCGGCAAGGGAGTGCCTGGGGCTCGGGAGATGGTCTCGGGGCTGAGGTGGGGTCACCGCATCACCCCCGGCGGGGGGAGCGTGGGATGGGGATCGGGAATGAGATTGGGGTCGGGGTCGGGAATGGAATCGGGAATGGCACTTGGGCAGCGGCTTTGGGAGGGCAAAGGGGGTTTGTAGTGAGAAAATCGCGGATCGGGGCGGCTCCGTGATCCCAGCGGAGAATCAGGGGCGGGTCTGTGGCCGCGAATGGAAAAGCGCGGCGGCTTGGGATCGCAAATGCGAATTTAAAGCGAGTTGGGATCGCAAATGCGAATTTACAGCGGGTTTGGGATCATAACCACGAATTTTTAGTGATTTTGTGGTTGCAACTGTAAATCTGCAGCAGTTTTGGAATCACAAATGCAAATTTGTGCCAGTTTTATGATTGCAACTATAAATCTGCAGTGGTTTTGGGATCACAAACATGAATTTGCAGAAGTTTTGGCATTAGAAATGCAAACTTTGTGTCAGTTTTGTGATTGCAGTTACAAATCTGCAGCATTTTTTGGGATTGTAACTGGAAATCTGCAGTTTTGGCGCCAAACGTTAATTTACAGCGGTTTTGGGATCACAAACATGAATTTACAAACAGTTTGGGATCATGAATATAAATTTGCAGCGGTTTTGGGATTGTAACTGGAAATCTGCAGCGAATTTGGGATCACAAACATGAATTTTTAGTGATTTTGTGGTTGCAGCTGGAAATCTGCAGCGTATTTTGGGATTGTAACTGGAAATCTGCAGCAGTTTTGGGATCAAAATGCAATTTTGTGTCAGTTTTATGACTGCAGCTATGAATCTGTGGGGGTTTTGTGACCACAAACACAGATTTGCAGCAGTTTGGGGATCATAGCTGCAATTCTGCAGCCGTTTTGCTGTTGCAGCTATAAACCTGCCATGATTTTATGATCCCAAACACACATTTACAGAGGTTTTATGCTGCAGCTGCAAAATGAAATGGGTTTGGATCACAGCTCTAACTCTACAGCCCTTTGTGATCCAAAACACCAGATTTTGGCCATTTTGTGGTTGCAGCTGCAAATCCCCACCGGTTTTTGTGATAGTGGACATGGATGTGAATGTCCTTGCAGTCACAACTGCAAACTTCCAGTGGGTTTTTGACCACAACTGCACATTTCCAGCAGCTCTTCTCTCAAAAACGCCATTCTTTGGAATGTGTGAGTGTGGGAGGTGGCATGTCCAGCCGGGGCAGGGCTCAGAACCTTCCTCACTGCCTGGAGGAGACTCAAATTGAGGGGCTGATGGGATTTTGGTAGGAATGCCCCAGTTTGTGCCTGGTTATTAAAATCAAAGCAAATACCAGGGAAAGATCCCACGGCAGGTTGTTGTTCCTATCCCTGAGGATCCTTTATCCAAATGCTGCACCCAGGGAGGGCTTGGCCCCTTCCCAAGGGGAACAGAGCAGCTCATGGTGGCTGGATCCCATTCTGGATCCCATCCTGAATCCCAGATCCTATCCCACCTCTCTCCATCCCATCCTGCAGGGACCATGGCCTCGCTGCTGTCCCTGCAGGAGGAGAACCAGATCCTGCAGCAGGAGCTGTCCCGTGTCGAGGACCTGCTGGCACAGAGCCGGGCTGAGCGCGATGAGCTGGCCATCAAGTACAACGCCCTCAGCGAGCGGGTGAGCCCTCCCAAATCCCCCTTTATTACCCCAAAATCCAGAGCTGGCCATCAAGTACAACGCTCTCAGTGAGCAGATGAGCCCTCCCAAATCTGCCTTTTTAAGCCCCAAAATCCAGGCAGTGCCAGCTCCAGTCTCAGTGTTCCCTGTGTGGGGTGAGAGACCTGCAATGTCCCTGTGGTGGGAATTGTCCAGATCAGTCCTGGCTTGCCGGGGCTTGTCCATCCCTGTTTTATTTGTCCTGCTGGATTTCAGGAAGGATCTCCCTGCTATGGAAATCCTTCAGTTTTTCTGTTCTTTGCCCTGGCAACCGAGAATTGCAAAGGGCTTTGGCCCTTTCAGTGCTGAGTGTGGCTCCAAATTGAGGGACTGGTGATTCCTTCGGACCCTCTTGGTGTGTGCCTTATTTAAGAAAAAAACAAATATCAGGAAAATAACCCCCGGCAAGTTTCCATTCCTGTACCCAAGGATCTTTTATCCATCAGCCACTCCATGCAAACTGGGAAGTGGCTTTGCTGAACCCACAGATTGGAGGTTGAGTTATCCTTAAAAGCACCCCCAAATTTTCCCATTCATCCCCTCCCTGTGCATGGAGAAATTAGGGAATGTGGGGATTGGGGGTTCTGCCTTTGGCTGGCTGGAATTTGCCGTGGAGCTCCGTGGAAGCAACGTCTTTGCCAGGAGTGCCACTGGGGGATGCTCAGGGGTGTGGGAGTGTCAGCCTGGACTCCCCCTGATCCCAGCTGGAGCAGAGCCTGCGGCTGGAGCCAGAGGAAGCAGCCGAGAGCCGGAGCCTGGCCCAGCACAACATCGAGCTGCGGAGGCTGCTGGAGGAGGAGCAGGCCGCCTACAAGAGGAAGCTCCAGGCCTACCAGGAGGGCCAGCAGCGCCAGGCCCAGCTGGTGCAGAAGCTCCAGGCCAAGGTAAATCCTTTCCGGGGGAGCACTGGGATAATTTGGGGACCCCTCCCACAATCGGTGTCACCCCCCTCCCTCCCCCAGGTGTTGCAGTACAAGAAGAAATGCGGGGAAGTGGAGCAGCAGCTGCTGGAGAAGGCAACGGAGCTGGAGCAGGAGAGGCTGACGGTGAGGGAGGCTTTGGGGATCCCCTGCACCAAATCCCCAAATCGGGGTGATGGCGAGCAGAGGGATGTTTTCACAGATCCAGCTGGATGCCAGTGGCTCCCAGCCCGAGGAGGAGAGCAGCAACGAGCTGGAGAACGCCCTGATCCGTCTGGAGGAGGAGCAGCAGAGGTGGGCAGGATCCCGAGGGGATGTGAGGATTCCTAGGGGATTCTGACCGCAGTGATCCCCAATCCCAGGAGCAGCAGAGGAGGGGTGCAAATGTGAGGATTCCTCGGGGGATAGGTGATCCCCTGGGATCCCAGGAGCAGCAGAGGTGGGCAGGATCCCTGGGTGGGTGTGAGGATTGTGACCGCGGTGATCCCCTGGAATCCCAGGAGCAGCAGCCTGGTGCAGGTGAACTCGATGCTGCGGGAGCAGCTGGAACAGGCCAACGTGGCCAACGCGGCGCTGAGCGAGGACATCCGGAAGCTCACGGCAGACTGGGCGAGGGCCCGGGACGAGCTGGAGCAGCGGGAGGCGGAGTGGAGGCGTGAGGAGGAGGTGGGGGACACCCCGGGCAGGGACAGGGACCCACCGGGGAGCAGCAGCAGGGAGAGGGATGTGAGGCAGAGGGAAGTGGGAACACGGAGAGGGATGTGGGATGATGAGGGGTGCTGCATAGAGCAGAATTTGGGGAGCATGGGGGTGTGGCATGTGATGGGAGAAGGATGCAAGGCAGAGGGCTACGGGCTGTGGGGTTACTGAGGAGGGATGCAGGGCCGGGGGGGATGTTCCATGGGGAAAGATTTGGGGGTTTGGGGGATGTGATGGGAAGGGGATGTGAGGCAGGGACGTGTTGCCCCCCTTCCCCTCTCCATACCCACAATAATTGGGTTGGGCTGTAGAGGACTGTGGTGGTGATGGGTGTGGCCAGGAGGGATATTTGGGAATTTGGGGACCGTGGTGGATCCCTGATCCCGCTCCATCCCACGCCAGTCCTTCAACACCTACTTCAGCAACGAGCACAGCCGGCTCCTGACCCTGTGGCGGCAGCTGGTGGCCTTCAGGCGCCACTTCGGGGACATGAAGGCCACTACCGAGAGGTCAGCGGGGCCCGGGGCGGGAGCTCTCCCTCTGGGGATCCCTGCGGATCCCACCCTGCACCTCCCGCCCCCAGGGACCTGGCGGAGCTGGGCCACGAGGTGTCCCGGACCGGCCGCGCCGCCCACGCCGCCTGCCTGCACCTGGCAGCCGACCTGCGGCTGGCCGAGAGCCAGGCGGGCGCGGCCCGGGAGCGGCAGGAGTTGCGCCTGGAGCAGCTGGAGGAGCAGCTGGCGGCGCGGGCACGGGACGCAGAGCTGGAGAAAGCCACCTTGGCAGCCAGGTACGGGGGGCTGGGGGGCACCAGGATGAGCGAGGGGAGGAATGGAGGTGCAGGGAATGTGGCACAGGATGGGGAGGGAATGAGGGAGAAGAATGGGATGCATGAGCAGCAGGAGGGATGAAGGAGCACCAGGAGGGATACAGGAACATCAGGGGATGCAAGAGCAGGAGGAGATATACAGGAACACCAGGGGATGCAGGAGCACCAGCAGGGGTGCAGGAGCACCAGGAGGGTGGGGCCATGGGGGATGTTTCACGGGGAAGGTTTTGGGGCTGTGGCACGGATGGGAAGCGATGTGAGGCAGGAGGAGGCAGGGATGTGCCGTGGATCAATGGTGGCCGTGTCCGGCCAGGCTGGCGGAGCTGACGGCGGCTCTGGAGCGACGCCGGAGTGAGGACGAGGAGAAGGAGCGGGCGGTGGAAGCGCTGACCCTGCAGCTGCGGGAGCTGGTGGGTGCAGGGTGTGGGGGTCTTGGGGGATGCACGTCCGTCGTTCCCAGCCTAATCCCGTCCCGGGGTTCGCAGGAGGCCGCGCGTGCCCGGGAGCCGACGCCGGAGCAGGTGCAGGCGCTGCGCTCCGAGCTGCAGCTGCTGCGCCGTACGCTGCACGAGGTCACCCAGGTGCTGGGACACCCCGGGCCACCCACGGCCAGGAGGGGCCTCTCCCTGCCACAGTGTCCCCTCCCTTCCTCAGAGTCCCCTCCCTTCCTCAGAGTCCCCTCCCTTCCTCAGTGTCCCTTGCTTTCCTCAGTGTCCCCTGCTTTCCTCAGTGTCCCCTCCCTGCCTCAGTTTCCCTTTTCCCTTACTCAGTTTCCCCCTTATTTGATGTGATTTCCCGTTTCCCACCTCAGTTTCCCCTTCCCATGACTCCATTTCTCTTTCTCACCTTGGTTCCCCCCCACTGACTTTATTCCCTTCCCTTCCTGACTTTGCCCTGGGTTTTCCCGGGAACAGGCAGTGCTGGCGGATGACCCCGAGCTCGTGCCCACCGTGTCCCCCCCGTGTCCCACCGTGTCTCCCCCGTGTCCCGCCGTGTCCCCTCTTCGCAGCCTCTCTGCCAGCGCTGCCGCCGCCGCCGTGCACGCAGCCCTGAGCCGGCGCCAGCTCCAGCTGCAGGTGAGGCTGGGAGGAGGAGGCTGGGGATGGGGATGGGGATGGGGATGGGGATGGGGATGGGGATGGGGATGGGGATGGGGATGGGGATGGGGATGG